TTAATATATATATATATATTATACAATGAAGTTAGCCTCACCAAAAAATAGGGGTCATCTGATAGCCATAAATAAATTTTCATCATTCGACATAGATTTCGAGGTGTGACAGTGACACAGATCTTGAGGAAATTTTTTGTGTAATGAATTTTCAATCCTCAACTAAAAATTATCTAAAACTCTAATTATAATAAGCTTATAATCAAACTGACCAACTCGACTAGACGAACACAATGATACCGAAATCGGTCCAATATGAGTCAAATCAAGCCTAGTTCGAGCTATTAAATCATTTTTGGAAGCTACTGATGCTTGAAAGATCAAATGAATTTCAAATCTAATTAGTTTTTGATGCTTAATTGAAAGATCAAATGAATTTCAAATCTAATTAGTTTATAGTCAAATTAAGCGTCTTAATGAGACGAATCTAACGACCTTAATATCACTCAATTTTGACATCTATAAGACACTCAAATGTGCACTGATCGCCTTTTGATTGTAGGATTCTCTTTGGGTTGTCCGATGAAGTGGTCCATATTTCTTTCTCATTAGTAGGAGGTCTCTCTTAGTCTCTATAATATAGCCCTACCATCTTCATGAAAGGGGGACCAAGATTTTGAACCGAAGGAAGTCAGAGCTTGGAAGAGAAGGAATCAGCTAGTGTTCCACACCGAAGACCCTATAAACACCACCGGATCCTACAACCGCCAACCACCATAGACCACTTCTTGCCTACTACCGTTGAGCATCGTCTACTGCCTCTTGTACATTGCAAAAAGTCCATTGGACAATCCCTATATGTGATGTTGAATCTTGACATACATTACAAAGCAATGAAGCACCCTATGAAGTAGTGGAATGACACATCCTGAAGATAGTGTAATAACACACCTCGTGAAGAGTACATGTCTTTCCCCAAATACGATCCAATAATACCCAAAGATGGTGCAACACACACCCCAAATACAATGCAACAATATACCCCACATACCGTACAAGAATGCTCTCCATATGCGGTGTGATGATGTACCTAGCAATAACTGCTTGCAACCACCGTACTCAGGATATGATGACTTTCTTTGAACTTTTGAAGCTCTCTCCTTGTAGACCACCACTAAAACTTACAAATGTTATCATAGCTCATTCAGCTCCCAACCTTGGTCTATGTGGTCTATGAACATTATCATATCTCATGCAACTCCCAACTCCAACATCTGAGGCTTACTGACGTTATTATAGCTCATTGCTATGGCCCATGCGACCAACTACGACTACACAACTCACAACTCACACAACTCTCTATTATGGTCTTTGTGGCTTACTGAATCTCATGGAGCAACCATCTACAACTCACATGACCAACTATTACGATGACTTCCAACTATGGCCTCTACAACAAGGCAGCGCATTCACGTCAAACTACTGCCTCCATACAACCAACTAAGATATTTACAACCCGTTACAACTATTATTACTGAAATATCATTGTGCATCAACTTTATAATTGTTAATAATTATAATAGAAAATCATTTATTCTTATAAGAAGTTATAAATAATAAGTTATTTCCTTAGAATAAGGAGATATTTCCTTTCCTGTTTTATATTTATTTTCTTAGATTATGAATTATTTGTTTTCTATTTTATGTTATTTCCTATATCTCCTAATAATTAATATGAATTAATTATTGGAGATATCAAGTGATATATCTTTCTTTTCATATTGTTTCTTTTCATATCTTTTCATATTGTTTCCTTTTTATTATTTTTTCTACTATAGGATTCTTGTAATGATTATTTATACTCTCCTTCATATCAATGAAATAATGAAGTATTTCACATTATTCTGAATTTCAACATGGTATCGGAGCAAAGTTTCGTACTCTAGCCACCGACCCTTCTTTGAAAATTGTTGGTTTCCCTTCCTGCCATCCTCTATACAGGAAGGGAGGGACACTCATCTTGATATTTGAAACGACGATTTTTTCTTCTTCTCTAATCCATATCCATTCCCGCCAGTGGAGAGCCAATTGGACCATCTCTCCATCTTGAAAGCCTAGCTGCTGATCCCGTAACGGCTTTTCCTGCTTCCCCGTCGGAGAAGGGAAAGCATCCAGTATCTTATCCCCAGCGCGGCATGCGCCCGTCGGCGACGCCAGTTTTATAGCGGCATCATAGCTTGACCACTACGCCGATGGAAAACCATCTGCTACATTCTTCTGTAGATGTAGTCGTGGAGCATCGAGTATCTCCACCTGATTATTTTGGACTACAAATGACAATTCCTCGGCAATTTAATCATAGGAAGGGTAGCTTCAGTTTTGAGGAGTATTGGCTCTCGCCTCCGTTCTCGGCATCTCCTACTTCATCTCCGCCTACCAATGCGGCTGATGCCTTGCAGGCTAGATTGTGAACAGAGACTCCTCCAGTCAGCATACCGCAACAGATGATGGGGAGGAACCGTCTGCATCACACTCCTAACTTTTCAGATTTGACTAGAAGCTTGTTGCCACTGCCATCGCCTAGAAATGCATGGGCTAATGTTTTGGAGTATTCTCCTTCTCCGAGGTTTTTCAGAAAGTGGGGGATCTTACTTCACTTTTGTACACGACTCCGAAGAAACCATGATAACAAAGATGCTTTGAATATTGGCTAGATATCACCACAAACCATCCAAAAACTTCTTGTGCTGTATCATCCTATGCCGGCACCAGCGATGCCGCCACCCGCCTCATCATCATCTCGCCGGAGATATCGCTGTCGTGGATCAGACAATGTTGGCAAAATTCATCGTCGACCCTTTCTCCTGCAGTTTTTTTTTCTTCCATGCCCAAGCGTCAGGAGGAGCTGCATTTCCAGCTGGTCATTTCTCCTACAGTATTTTTTCTTCCCTGCCAAAGCATCAGAGGAGCTGCATTTCCAGCCAGCCCTTTCTCGTGCATTATTTTTTTTCCCTGGCCCAAGTGTCAGGGGGAGCTCTGTTTCCAGCTATTCTTTCTTCTGTTGTTTTCTCTGTCAGTAGAATTTACTGGATGTGATTTACATGTTTTCTCAGCAGCTAACGACAACTGCGGTCAACTAAAAGTCAGTTATCCTGCAGGTTGTCTCTTTCCCAACTCAAAATTTAGCTAAGCCTGAATCTAGCAAATTCAACCAAGTCTGAATATCTCTTCTATGTCGAAACATATGACATACAAAATTCAAAATTCAGTCAAGCTTGAATCTCTCTTCTACACCGAAACACATGACTGACAATACTCAAAATTCAGCCAAGCCTGAATCTCTCTTCTACACCGAAACACATGGCTGACAATACTCAAAATTCAACCAAGCCTAAATCTAGCAAATTCGATAATCCAAACGACCAATATTTTTTCACTACTCATCAATTTAGGAATTATTAACATACATTCCAAACTTGAGGGGGAGTGCTAAAAATTATAATAAGAAATAATTTATTTATATAAGAAGTAATGAGGAATAAATTATTTCATTAGAATAAGGAGATATTTCCTTTCATATTTTATATTTATTTCCTTAGATGATGAATTAAACGTTTTCCTATTTTATGTTATTTTCTATATCTTCTAATAATTAATATGAATTAATTATTAAAGATATCATGTTATATATATTACCTTTCATATCATTTCATTTTTATTATTTTTTCTATTATAAGATTCTTGTAAAGATTATTTATATCTCATTTCATATCAATGAAAAAATAAAGTATTCCACATTATTCTGAATTTCAACAGTAATTTCATCTTCTCTAACTCATGATAAGAGTGTGTCTGTGTACTCACCATTACATAGTGAACTATTTCAACTATGTTAGACCCTACGGTTTTTTCCCTATTCCAGGGTATTCCATATAAAAAATCAAATGTTTCCTCTTGCCAACTTTTTTTTTTTTATCTGTGTGTTGGATTTTCATACAACACTTAGACTAAATAATCAGGGTATTCTATATAAAAAACCAAATGTTTCCTCTTGCCAACTTTTTTTTTTATCTGTGTTGGATTTTCATACAACACTTAGACTAAATAATCACTATATCACCACAGATCTTCTAACACACATTATTAATATTTAAATCTTCATATTTATATGTATATCACTCAAATTTTAATATCTCCTAAAAAAATGACACAATCATTATCTTTTTAAATGTGAAATCTATTTCTATGCATAGATTTTTGGTATAAATGTAGATATCAAGCTTTTAAGTGTTGCATACATATATATAAATAAATTTTATGGCATGGATGTAAATTTCCCTTTAAAAAATAGGAAGGGAAGTAATTTCAATAAAAGTTAGGCTTAAAACTGATAAATCATACGTTGACGATGTGGAGATCTTATCCACTTTACTCTCTCCTTCCTTGTACGAAAACGGCAACAGGGAGCTGCCTAGGTGGATAAAGCCGAATCTCTCTCATCGTATTGAGAAAATGTTGCCTTCCTTATCCTCTACCTTACTAATCTTCATAGTCCTTCAGGCTTCGGCATATAAAGGATTTGCAGAGACATTTGAAGAAGTAAAGTTGTGTTCTTTTTATTTTTTATCATTTTCTCCGAGAAAGAGAGATAGATAGAAGAGAGAAGAAGAAGTTGATGTTTATTGGGTGGTTTGGGTTGGCAAACATAATAAGGGAGTTTGAAGCTGGTTCTGTTGTGGAGAATGGAGGATTCTTTGATCCCACAAATCAGCCATGGGATCATGGATGAGCAGGAAGAAGATCTCGGTTCCTTTTCTTCTTTTGAGGATGATGAGGACGAGTTTGTGCTGTCGACGACTTCATCGTCGTCGTGCTTAATGGAAGATGCCACCTTCTCTCCATCTAGCGGTAGTTTGGAGGAGGAAGACGGATCTCCTCTTTTTCAGATGTCTAATCTCATTGCCCAACTTCCCCTGAAGTGAGCTCAATGTTTCCAACTCTGAAATTTCATGAACTTTTTGTTTTTTTCTTCATTGCATCATCAGTCAGTTGAATGATTAAAAATGATATTTTTCCTCACTATCTTACAAAATAGATCGTTAGTTTCAATCATGGCTTCCCATAGCTTGAAGGGCTGTTTGTAATCCTGTTTTAGGCTTAATCCCACCATAGAAACTGTTTGGGACTTCAAATTCTATTTTTGACAAATACAGCATTATTGACAGATTTAACAAATAATTCTCAGGTTTTCATTGTTTTTATATGAATTCACAGAATATGCTAAATCCTAATTGAAGCCAAACAGTTCCTGAAGAAGTTATTTTGATTTAATACAGGAGAGGGCTATCAAAGCATTTCCAAGGGAAATCACAATCATTCTCATCTCTGTGCAGTGTGAGGAACTTGGAAGATCTGGCCAAACCTGAGAGGCCATATAAGAAGAAGCTGAAATCTTCAAAGAGCTATGGAGGAGGATTAGATTGCCACAAAGCTCTTTCTTTTACAAGGTCGGCCATAATAAAGAAGCCATCCAGAGGTTCCTTCTCCTCATTGGGACAAAAAAAGCAGAGCTTTTTGAGCAACAGCAGGCCTCCCATTCATCCACAGAAATCCTCTGGAAATCTGTCAAATCAGGCGCTTCTGTTTGCTTGATCGAATTCTAATAGAAGCTGTGGACTTTTTCTGATCTTTCGCTTTATGATTTGTGCGAAGGTTTTTACTGAATCATTTTAGATTTGTACAGCTAAAAGTAGGCTTGATGGGTTGCCTGACTAGTTTTTTTTTTCCTTTTTTTTCTCTCTTTTTGCTGATCCAAATGTTACTAATGAAAAATATGGATCAGTTTTATCAACAGTGTTTGGCTATCCTCCATTGTTGAGCTCTTTGCTAAATGAAGTAAATTTATATGCATCTTTTGGTGATGGCGATACCAACAAGAAAAAGTTTCGATCTTTCTTACAAAAAAAAAGTAATTTTTTTTTCTTTTTTTGCATTTTATGAAAAGGATGCAAAAATTATGTATATTTTTTTTTTTGCATTTTATGAAAAGGATGCAAAAATTATTTTAGAAGTTGGTATTTATGTAACTTAAATTAGGTTTTTTGGAATAGATCAGCAATTGTTCTGTTAAAATATTACGAGACCGGCAGTTCTGATAATATTTTCTGTCTGGTTCAGATTGTTGGGGGAGGCTTCAGAGCCTGAAATGGTCGATTGAGATATTCCAAGTTTGTTAAGCGAGATGACCAAAGCTGAGAGAAGATAATTTGGAGCTGTTAGGGTTTTTGTTCGTTTCTTATTGTTCGGCCGCCGCCTGTCCTCTTCCTACTGATTTCTCAATCGCTGATCCATAAACTTTAGGGATATTTACATACATAACACTCACTTTTATGAATTTATATATCTAACATCCAAAATAAATAAAATCATTTTCATGCATGAAACTTGAACGATATTTTAGGGTGTTCTGTGTAAAAATTAAGTGGGTGTTCTATATCTAAATGCATAGAAATTAGATGGTATGTATAGGTAAATTTTAAAAGGTTTATATGACAAACACTTTTATGTTACAAAAATTGACCCGATATGACAACTTTACTTGGATTTCATTCAAAATTCGAGTTTGATTCCCTCTAATTTATAACTTAGGTTCTGGTTATGACTTCTAACCGTCAGGCAACCCGCCCGAAATTAGCTTACCAACATAAAATTAACTCAAAACTAACATGCTAACCCAAAATTGACCTAAATTGAACTTGACTAATTGTCATGTCTTACGTTACATAGGATATACGGATCGTTTTCGGAGCAACGGTTGAAGGTGGGTTAGGTTTATGTTGGACTTTCAATTTGTTTAATAATCAAGTCATGTCGGATCAAGTGATGTCAATTCAGATCAATTTTTGGGTCAGACCCAAACCTCACAACATTGACATTCCTATACTTCATACTATATTTTGGAAAAGAAGCCTAATTGTCTTATATATAGTAGAACGCCACACTGCTTTAGAACAATGTCATTTTCGTCCTAAATTCTACATTGCTCATCCTTTTGAAATTCCCTTTACTATAGAGTTTCACATAACTAGGAATTGTTTGGTCATTCTATGTGTATTATTTTCTCTTATCTAACTAATCATATCTTTTGCAAGATAATCATATAAGAACTAGTGATTAATATTTGTTGCGTGTTAGAAAATTCATAATGATAAAGTGGTAGATTAAAGTTTTAGCATTATAGTAAGATCCAACACATAGAGATAAAAAAGGAAGTAGCAGAAGAAGATTCCAATATTTTTTACAAGGAAATACTCGGATAGGAAAAAATACCACTTTTACTAACTTTTACAAAGTGAAATACACATTTTAAAGCATAGATAAAATGATATTAAGTTAAAAGTCAAACTTAAAATCTTAGATATGTAAAATAAGAAATTAATTGAAAAAATAGATTGACATGAGAATGAACAAAAACTTATCCAAACCAAAAAGAAACTACAATAACTAATTCAAATACTAAAAATAAAAAAATTAAATCTAATTGCTAAAATGTCTACTCCAATGGAGACGGTCATTCGAATGATTAGGTAGAACTTGCTATACAAAAATATCAATAAGTGAGTTTGATAAATCAAACTTAATAAATAACTATTATGTACCAAAACATAAATAATGAGGTACCAAGGAATGCAATATAAATAAAAAGACGAGAATATTTACTATATCTATATATAATACTATCAAACAAGAGAGTGTTGTTAAAATTGTCAGCATGCCTCAATGATAACATGAGCATACTCAATCATTTTGATGACATCTACAATTATTGACAATCAATTTTATGTTAAGTCAATGCATTCATTTCTAATCCAATCAAGGCTTACAAGTTTATGATTTAACAATCATTTATTATTCAATTTCAAATATGTTTATAGTTATATAGTCGATTTTATCAGACAACAAGAAAAGTGGAAGGTAAACATAAACCAAAAGAGCATGTTAATTATCTATAAAGCCATCATTATGTGGGTCAGCCAGCTTGATTAATCAATATCAAAAAAGATTCCACCAACTTATTCGCAAGTGCCATAAGCATACAATTGAAAATTTTCAGTGAGTATTATTTAACTAATATGCTAAATAATAAGAGTATTTCGAACATGAATATAACATGAAAATAATATGTTGCAGTTAACTATAGTAACGAGTAATAAAAGTAAACATTACAACTACAAAAACTATAAATTAAGGAAAACAAATTCACATGATAAACCATAAAATAATCCCACAACAGGTGCATAAAAATATAAATGAAGTATAAAAAGCAAGACTTAACTTGTAATTATAAAAACAATAAGGATTAAACCCTTATTAATAAAGAGTATGCTAATCATATAATAACTAATATTTGCTTATCTTGATCCACTAGATATCACATTTGAAGTTTAGCAAAAGTTCAATTAGCAATGCCTAATAGAGTACTTGAAAGTCCTACACCAACCAACATCCAACTAATTACAAATACGCTAAAAAGAGCATAAAGTTACTTAGCTAGCATAACCTAGCTAATAAGAGTTGACTTACCTGTGGAGTCCGAATGTATCTGGACTCCGTTTACATCAATGTTATACGCTGTCATACACATTTTACAACTGTGTAAAATAATATTGTACATAGAGTCTGGATGCATCCAGATTCCGTACAAAATATTCTCCCTATCGAGACATCCTCTCTTACGTGTGGAGTCCGAATGTATCTGGACTCCATTTACATCAATTTTGTTTGCTGTCATACACATTTTACAACAATGTAAAATAATATTGTACATAGAATCCGGATGCATTCAAATTTTGTACATAATATTCTCTCCCTATCAAAGCATCCTCTCTCTTCGTTTATCAAAGCTGTTGAATCATTCCTCTCAAATCTGATTGCACATTGTGTGCTCATGGAACCAATGACATTAATTGCTTTTATTATTTATTTGTTCTCCTTCTCCATGCATCTATTGTTGCACTCACCCTAGGTCACTCATTTCTCTCTTCATCTCCCACTCTAGCCGCACTCATCTCCTTGCTTGCTTGCCATACTTTCACGCTCGCTTGTTCTATCCTCTCTCGTACTGAGTTCCCCCTATCATAAGACTCCAATTAGGAACTTAAAAGTAAAGTGAGGCAGCAGAGGAACAAAAAAAATAGATTGGTTCTGCTTGGGCTGGACCAATCTGATCCAATACTAGAAAATCGGGTTATTACATCAGGTATTGTATTTAATATTGGGGGAAATCTGTTCATCATCAGAAGACGAGTTGCTTAGGTAGATAAGTGAAGCCATCAAGATGGTTTGCATAGCCATTCAACTTAAGGTGGTGTTTGGCAGCACAATTTAAAGAGGATTTAGTCATCAATTTAACGTAAATCCAACCAAACATAAAAATAAATAAATAAATAAATCCAAAGCTCTATTTAATTGAATTTTTTACGTTTCATTTTTTCTTGTCATGTTCCGTCTCTTTTAGAACCTAAATTCAGATTTAGTAAATCCAATTGCGAAACGGATTTAAGAATTTCTTCCTACTATCGCTCACGAGTTTGTCTCCGTCGCACTGACAATTGATTTTACTGAATTTGATAAATCCTATTTAACATAAATTTAGTCTGCAACCAAACACCGCCTAAAGGAGTTTTAGAATTTGAGACCATCATTTGGGATATTTGTCCACAAGAAGTTGGAAATGAACATTATTTTTTCGGGGCATTTAGATACATAGCACACAATTCTTTTGTATTTATA